GCAGCTTCTTTATATTGTAATATCCTAAAATTACACTATTTTAATACGATCTATTGTTTATATTGTAATATTCCAAAATTACGCTATGTTAATGCGATCTATTGTTTATATTGTAATACCCCAAAATTATGCTATTTTAATACGATCTATTGTTTATATATCCTAAAATTACACCATTTTAATACGATCTATTATTTATATTGTAATATGCCAAAATTACGCTATTTTAATACGATCTATTGTTTATATTGTAATATGCCAAAATTACGCTATTTTAATACGATCTATTGTGTATATATCCTAAAATCACACTATTTTAATACAATCTATTGTTTAGATTGTAATATGCTAAAATTACACTATTTTAATACGATCTATTGTTTATATTGTAATATGCCAAAATTACACTATTTTAATACAATCTATTGTATATATTGTAATATGCCAAAATTACGCTATTTTAATACGATCTATTGTTTATATTGTAATATGCCAAAATTACGCTATTTTAATACGATCTATTGTGTATATATCCTAAAATTACACTATTTTAATACAATCTATTGTTTAGATTGTAATATGCTAAAATTACACTATTTTAATACGATCTATTGTTTATATTGTAATATGCCAAAATTACACTATTTCAATACAATCTATTGTATATATTGTAATATGCCAAAATTACACTATTTTAATACAATCTATTGTTTATATTGTAATATGCTAAAATTACGCTATTTTAATACGATCTATTGTTTATATTGTAATATGCCAAAATTAAACTATTTTAATACAATCTATTGTTTATATTGTAATATCTCACAATTACGCTATTTTAATACAATCTCTTATTTATATATCCTAAAATTATGCTATTTTAATACAATCTATTGTTTATATTGTAATATCTCACAATTACGCTATTTTAATACAATCTATTGTTCATATATCCTAAAATTATGCTATTTTAATGCGATCTATTGTTTATATTGTAATATCTCACAATTACGCTATTTTAATACAATCTACTGTTTATATATCCTAAAATTATGCTATTTTAATACGATCTATTGTTTATATTGTAATATGCTAAAATTATGCAATTTTAATACAATCTATTGTTTATACTGTAATATCTCAAAATTATGCTATTTTAATACGATCTATTGTTTATATTGTAATACTCCCAAAATTACGCTATTTTAATAAAATCTATTGTTTATACTGTAACATCTCAAAATTATGCAATTTTAATACGATCTATTGTTTATATTGTAATATCCTAAAATTATGCTATTTTATTACAATCTATTGTTTATATTGTAATATCCTAAAATTAT